CAACAAGTAATAAGATTAATTATTAATTACTTCTTGTTGCAATGCTGGATTGGTTTTCACATCTTTCCATTTATGCCAGTCAATATATCTAACTTTTTCTCCTAAACAAAGGAGCATACTTCAAAGGCATCATTGTCACTTACTCTCACAGGCCGGAGGGCTGGGGCTCCAGACACCTACTGTTTTATTCACCACCATACAGGAAATGGAAGCATTGCCTAAGAGTGAGTAGTTGGGGTCACAGATGTAGGTGACTGAGGAGCCATACGTGTAAAGATCTTCATCTCTACCACTGTGTTTCCCATTGCTGATGTCTGGAGGGGACTCACACTTGACAACTGAAATGAGAGTGAACAGAAAAAACTCAACAAAGAAGCCATCGGGGAGGATCTAAAGTTCCTGCAAATCTGTAGGAAGGTTCTATGAGGCAGCGGAGAGGCACAATGGTGTTACACCGAGCACAGTTCAGGTGTGTGATGAGGACAGAAATCTTTACTTACTTACACATTCTGGGAGAGGGTCGCTCCAGTCCACCACTTTGCCTTGACTCTCACACTGACTAGTTGTTGAGCCAATGAGGCTGTATCTGAAAGGGCAGGTCAGCCGTCTCAGTGGAATTCACCTCACAATAAACAATGATTGCTCATGACATTTACAACAAATGGAATTTTTTTCATTATTTTAGTCTTCTATTCATTTATATGTGTTTGTTACACACACTAGCAGATCTCACTCTGGCGTATGCATATGTGCATGCAGATTCTGCAATCATCCCTATTCCTCCCCCTTCCTGTTCTCTCTCTTCTCCTGATCTCCTCCGGTTTCTTTGATAAGACTCCCTTCTTCTTTTACACTGTCTTTCCCCCCTGTTTCCTTACACAGGACAACACATGTGAAAATTGATGTTCTGAACCTAGCTGCTAACACTTAAGATGGTACCCAGTTCCTCCTGTTTTCCTAAAAATGATGTGATTTTATTTTTGTTTATTACTGAGTAATATGTACTGTGTATACGGAATATATCTTCTTTACCTATTCATCAGTTGAGAATTGTGCTCCCAAAACGTGAGTATTCACTTACCTCTATACTGTACTGATTTTAATCTTTCTGAGAACATATCAAAGAGTTGTATAGATGAATCAAATTGTAGCTCTTTTTTTAGAAGGTTTTTTAAGAAACTAATTTCCTACTAATTTCCACAGTATCTGTATTAATTTCCTACCACCACTGTATTGTTTTCACCTGCAACCTTATCAGCATGTATTGTTTTAGTTTTTGGGTTTTTTGTACCAAGAATTGAACTGAGAACCTTTCACTTGCCAGGCAGGCACTGTGCCTCTGAGCTTTATCCCTGGACTGTATTGTTTTTTTTGTTTTGTTTTGTTTTGCTTTATGGAACTGGGGATTGAACTCAGACCCTTGGGCTTGCCAGGCAAGTGCTTATTCTACTGTCTTGTTTTTTATATTCATAATGATAGCTGTTTTGCTTGGGGCAAGATGGAATTTCCATGCAGCTTTGGCTTGCATCTTCTTCCTGATGGCTAAAGACACTCAACATTTTTTCTCCTATATTTTTTGGACATTTGCGCTTATTTTAAGAAAAGTATTCAATTAATTTGCCCAAGGTTTAATGATTGGACTATTTGGGGGATTAATTTTTTAAAGAGAAAAAACAACAATACAGAATTTCAAAGCAAGACAATAGGAAACAAACAATGGTTACTATATTGCACGGCTATCTTCAAAGTAGTTTTGAGTTTATTTTATATTCTAGAAATCGGTTCTCTGATGGAATAGTAATTAGTAAAGATAGTCTCCCATTCTTTGGTTGCTTCTTCATTGTGTTGCTTGTTTTGTTTTCTGAGCAGAAAATTTTTAAATTTGACTTAACCCCACATGTTTTTTCTTGCTATTATTTCCTGTGATATTGGAGTCCCATTCAGGAATCTTTGTCTACAAGTTCAATTTTTCCCCTATGATTTCTTTTACGAGTTTCAAGGTTTCAAGATAAAAACAATATAACTTCTGAATAGATTCAGAAAACATGTGGCCATATAAATTAAGGACAATTGTGTATCTGTATATACAAAATAGGATAGATATTTAGATTTAGAAGAAGTACTCTCTCTTAATTCAATAAGAAGAAAGATCTGTACTGATAGTGTTTGGACAGGATATCATGTCTGCATCTTGTGCTATGAATGACTACTACAAAGACAACAATATGCAATATATTAATTGTTGTAACTCTCCTACCAACCTGTTTTGAAGCTGAAACATTGCAATTTTTTCTCAATAAAATTAATTTTTAAAAAGTCAATAATTTCTGATATTGCCAGTTCTACAGATGACCCACTACTACTATGGACTACTGGACTCTATTGGATTATTTTGCTGAATTCACGCACCTACAATATTTAAATGGCAATGGAATACCATTTTCTAACAAAATTAAACAAAAAAAGGGATACAGATGAAGGACAATTTTGTATCTGTATATTCAAAATAGTTAGGATAGATATACAGCTACTTTCTCTTAATTCAATGAGAAGAAAGATTTGTACTAATAGTGTTTGGACAGGGTA